CCACCCCCACCCTCCACCCCAGCAAACCAGCACCTTTTAAAATTCATTGGGCATCAGGCGATCATGCACAATCCATCTGCTTTCACTTTATCATTTGCATTTCATGCCTCCTGGCTTTTGATGTGCTGATACTTTGATGCAGTCAGGAGACGCGCATTATCATTATTTCAATTTTCAAAGGGGTCATCGGGATCGGCACTTGCACACACAGATTTTTTTTTCCCCTACAACCTCTGTGCACCCCCTCCCTTCTTATTCTTCACCCCAATGTTTAACATAAAGAATGAAGACTCAAAAAGGTGGGGGTCAAATGTTTACAGTCTAAAAGCTTGCATATACTGCCTACAATTCCACTTTACACAGGTACACACATATTATGAGCAATATGGTCAAGGCTTAAGGAGGCTCTATAGTGTTTCAGACACACACAAAGACTTTCTCACACATGGATACTCAGGGAGGCAGAGAAAAAAGCAGATCTAGAAGCAGCATATAGACACAAAGAGACAGACAGACTAGCACCCACATAGGAGAAACACGCATGCAAAGTGACCTGCACGTACCCCCAGTATCCAAGCCACAGATTCCTTCAGAAAGAAAGGCAAATATGTAGACAGACACCAGCAAACACAAAGACTGAACATGCAGAAGGAGTGAGAGAAAGCAATCTGAGCAGGTAGCTCCTGGATAGTTTCCTTTTTTCATACCTGGTAGGAAAAGAGGCATTCTTAAAGAATTTGCATGAATCAGTTGTCTTCCAGCAGCATGACTCTATACCTAAGAGGTACTGACATGAAGATAGGGAAGCAGGCAGACCAAGATTAGGTAACCTCTATAGCTGATCACTCCTTTCAGCTATAAATGATCATGTTCTTCTCAAAATGAGCATTGTTGGGCAAGTTTTAGCTGCAGCTTTACTTGTCTTTCCCCCCTGCAACTAGATTTTTTTCCTTAACAATCAGCCCTGTAGAGTAGGATGGTGGTGAATATAATAAATTTGATCGGGACAATTCAACTAGAGCTTAAGAGAAAATCCCTAATGCTTTTTTTATGGCACAAATGAAATTCAACCAGCAAGTTTTTAGGCAAAGCAAAACAAATAAAAAACACAGCAGCAGCAACAAGAAAACCTTTGCATTTGTAATACAGTTTGTGCATAACATAGTATCAGGGAGAAAATAAGAAACTCAATGTAACCAGGACACACTTCAGAAATTAGCTCTTTTTCTACAGGAACATTATGGAAATTCAGGTGTCTTCTTTAAATTCAATCCTCACAAACAATGGTACCTACAAGTCTCTTCAATGTTCATCAATAGCTCATCCTAAGAAGGTATTCAAAAGAGCAGCTTAGAAAGAAACCAGTAAGACTCTCAGCAGTTTCTCCCACTATAATAATCTCTTTCAGGAGCCCCCATCCAGAATCTTCATTTCTAGGCAACTCTCTAAACGGGAGCAGGAAAGTCAGGTTTGTAAGTGCTACCTTGCTTTCCTTCTAGAAAAAGGCAAACCCAGTTAAGAATATAGTTCATATAAATGCAGAGAGCAACCTGATGACATCAAGTATTTCTCATTTCTGACATCTCCCAAAGCTAATTGGACCAACAGAAGTATCAACTTTTTCTAAATGGGGATGATAGGCTAGAGCAATTTTTATCCCTCCTCTTGCAAGTCAAGGTTTGATATAAAAAAAATAAAGTTTACACAAGCCTACTAAATATAATATCCAATTCAAGTTAGCATGAATAAAACTCCAGAAGTTCAATCACCATGCCATTTAAGAAAGGAACAGAAAACTGAAATTTTATGAGTGCAGATATTTTGTGCCAATTAGTAGATACTTTTACTTATGTTTTTTCATCTGATCTCTACAGCATCATTCATAGGTATAAATTATTCCCTTTGATAGAGAAAGCAAACTTAGGAGATGAGAGGTTGTATGAGTTGCACAAAGTTAGCCAGTCAGCCCCAGATTATTACATATTCCTGACTCTGGATAGAAAATAATTTTCCTAAACATACGAAGAAGTCAGAACTACATTGCTCCCTGTGTGTTCAAGTATTCATAGTTTTCACCCTAATAAGCAGGAAGCCCGTAATCCATTACCCTCCCCCCTTTCAGAAAGCCCTTAAGAGTTTAGATTGAAAGGCACAAGCATTTTTTTTGAAGGGAAGCTACGTCATACTCCTTCCCAGCAACCAAGCCATGCATCTACCCACCCATCTTCCAATTCAGTATTTACCAAGTACTTCCTCTGTTATAAGGCACCACCATAAGTACCTCTTTTGAGAGGTACTTCTCAAAACGTCAAAATTTGATGAACTCCACAGATTCAGAGAATGTTTCAGACTCAGCTTTATGTCTGTGGATACATCTCATATCCCTTACTCCCAGATGACAAAAAGGGGAGAGAGAGCACAAACAGAAGCATTCAATTTATTGTGTCTTTCTAGAAAGAGTTGACAATGTAAACTCTTTGGAACAGGAATTTTATATGGCTTGTTCCTTAACATATCTACAGGCTTGGTATAGTGCCTGGCACATCGGAGGGACTCAAAATATCTGTTGAATGAAGTAATATAAGTGAAGAGGCAAGTAAGTCACTGAGCAGAGAAGAGAGAGGTAGTAGAGCAGGCAAGGACTGAATGGCTCCCCAATCAAGATCTTGAATTAAGAATTCATGATTGTCTTCATACATTTATTTCAAATCCTAGAAACTTACTTTGTTGAGTGCCCCAGCTCCTGTCAGAATTAAATGAGAATTTTCAACCTGGATGGTTCTCTGTCCCAGTCGGACAAGGTAAGCCCCAATACCAATGGCCCGGCATGTAACCTCAAAAGAGAATAAATTTTACACATTATATATTTATGTTCCTTCCCAATCTATAAGAAGTAAGGCACAGATATATAAAATTCCCATCAACAGAAAAAAACAGTGCAGTTTATGAAGTCTGTTTGATTAATAACAATACAAAAATAACATTTTTCTGGTTAAAAAAAATATTGGATTCATTCAGTGATTCAAGCATTGGACATTTAAAGAATCAAAGGTCCTTTACTTCACTTATACTTTTGCCCATTTCACAGATGTGTTGGTATCTGTATGAGCAAGATACGCGCTTATGAGAAGAAATTCAAAGTTGTTAAAATTCTGGTAGAATATATGGGAAATAAGAAGTTAAAGGCTAAAACAAGGTGCTAGGTTTCTCAGGGAAGTTCAATTATTTACATTATCCTATCTTCCCATTATCATGCATGACTAAAGTCAAATTGCAGGTGTATAATTTTTAAGAAGTACTCTCATTTGGGACTGGATAGCAGTGATGGATGCAAAAATAAATCCTACTCACACAGTTAACTCTTCAAAGACTTCACATTCTGGCAAAACTTACCAGGCTAATAGTGATGATCTCATCATAGGCCAGTGAGGATTCTCCAGCAATCATTCCAGAACCTCGAAGGTTTTCTGCTCCAAGGCCCTCTTCTTTCCCAATAATATCAGTAATCTTATACCTGTCAGGTACAGACACGCCAAATGATAAAGGTTAAACACAATACAGCAATCCATTAAAAGATTAATCACCATTAAGTAATTAATGAGTGCTGAAAGTTTTTATTTAACATCAAGTCTCTACTCCTTTTACAGTCTTCATTTAGATCTTTCTTTCTTAGCTTAGTGCCTATTTTTTTCTGGAAGCCAAGATGGTAAAATCTAGAAATTTATGAAATAAGGTTAAATCCATGCTCTGGCACACACAGCAGTATGACTCTAGGGGATAACAGTAACTTCTGTAAAATGGGAATAAAAGTATCTACCTTTGGGCCTCCCTGGTGGCGCAGCAGGTTAAAGCACAGCTTTTTAGCTAAAACCACTTCAGCATGAGTTCTATCTCCGCCCGCCCTGGAGGTGATCCACATGGCACGGCAGACCTCTTCTGACCTGCCTGCTACTCCCCTCAGCAGTGTACTTAGCTGATCTGCCTGTTTTGCTCTCCACTCCGTCTCTGGTGAATCCTCTCACCCTCCGCATCTCTGGCCTGTACCCCAGTTCTAAATGCATAATTAAAAAAAAAAAAAAAAAGTATCTACCTTTAAGGATTGTGTGAGATTTAAAGCTTAAGGAGAAGGCTTGACATACTTATTTTAGACACCACTCTCTACTCTCTAGAATAACTTTCTTAAAAGAAAGGTCAACATTAATCTTTCTGTAATCAGCAGTTGCCATTAAGTCAACAATTTTGGATAAATGTTACACAGGAATAAAAAAATCCAGAGGTGGCCCTCCCTGGTGGCGCAGCGGGTTAAAGCACAGCACTGAGAAGCTTAAGCCACTTCCGCATGAGTTCGATCCCAGCCTGCCTGCCCCGGAGGAGATCCACATGGTGTGGCAGACCTCTCCTGACCTGCCCGCTGCTCCCCTCAGCAGTGTACTTCGTAGATCTGCCTGTTCTGCTCCCCACTCTGTCTCTGTTGAATCCTCTCACCCTCCGCACCTCTGGCCTGTACCCCAGTTCTGTATGAATAAATAAATAAATCTTTAAAAAAAAAAAATCCAGAGGTATAGTGAGAATGTTCAGCCCAATTTCTCAAGTCAAAAGCCTCTCTTGCCAAGACAGGGATGAAGGGGAAGGTCAAAACAATGTACTCCCTCTCTTACTCCGTAAATATCAGGTATATACATGAGGGCTCCTGGCTGTAGTCCTCTGGAGGGGCCGTGGAATGTGTGTAGACGTGAAATGTTGGCCCAGGTTGGCCAGAAAGCATCCTGTGGATCCAGTGGGAGCTACTCATCTGTCTTGTTGGCAGGGGATTAGGAGTGATAGCTGATAATGGGAAATGGGAGATGGGGAATGCAACTAATAAAAGAAAGGAAAAATACAAAGTTGGAAGTAGAGATGGGCATTATTATTTATTGTTCTGTGTGTACCCAGAAGGCTTGGCACTGGGCACAGTTTTATAAATTGAAATAATAAATAAATATCCCACAGTGGCTCTTAAACTACATTTTTTGCCCCCATATTTCTGTTTCCTTCTTTACTTTCAGCCCTCCATTGATTCTTTTTCTCTGCCTTTGCTGTTGATCTGAGGTTTTGCATCTCTGCTTCCCACATTCCTTGCCTTTCTATTTTTAGCCTCTCCTTATAATCCCCAATTCTTCTTTTTGCTCTGTATCTAGATTCTAAATTCTAAAGATATGTTACAGTAAAGCTAATCTCCTTTAGGAATTAATGAATCATTAATTTTTGCAGTGGTGTTAGTAGTGAGGTATGTGCTTATTTTATAAGGTCCGCATGCCATGCAGTCACAGGTATTCATGGGTCCAATCAGCCCGCAAAGCAGATCTTTTCTTTCCTAAGGGGTACGAGTTGCTTCATAGGTATTTGTGATTTGTTATGTGGCATTTTTCCCATTGTACTACATGAAAAACAGTAAAAATTTCCCATTTTCTACTCTATGACCTGCATCTCTTCTACTAGAAGGACTATTATTCTTAAAAGTAGTACCAAATTTTAATATTACTTATAACAAAACTCTGTAGAATGTAATACAATTAATAACACACACACATATAATTTTGATTGTGACAGCAATTCAATGTGGACAGATAGTTATCTCCAGTAACAGTCAGGATTTCTGACTATGTGCTCAGTGCTCTGCTAAGGCTTTAATTTATATATTGGATTACTTGATCACCTTACAGATGAGGAAATTAAGTCTCAGAGAAGAAAAATGATTTGCTTTCATAAAAATAACATAAAAGCAACAGCTTTCTAAAATATGAGTAATAAATAATTATAAAATATAACAGGGGGAGAAGTCCCACTCATAAGAAAAATTACAAATATTTAGGAAACATTTATAGAATCCCACCATAGCCACACTGTGTGTGCAACAAGGGGTCTGTGAGTCCACAGAGAAATACCAGAAGCACTGTAGGGTATTTACATTTTTAAAAGAAAAACTACCATATGTCCTATCTGTTGATTCCCATGTGAGCTACTAGCTTTAGGTAGTTCATGATTTAACATCAGGTAGCACTACTCTCCCCTTGACAATGTCCTGTCTTTACAAAGCAGAGTTTTCACAGTTTCTGTGGGGAAAAAAATCAAGCTCTACACAAAAATCAGTGCACAACAAGAAAGAAGGGCATCCAAGGTTTGAGATGTAGAGATGAAATATTCCATTAGAAAGTAAAAGTAATTATTTACAAATAATATTTTTCAATTTATGTATACTGTATTTTTACAAGATTAGTAAGTTGTTAGAACCTAAGTTCAAATGATTTGTTTGTAGTTGACTACTTAATAAACAGAAATATTAGGTATAGCCTCTAGCCTAATGCTACTGTGAAAAATTACTGACATAGTAAGGGTGCTGTGAACCATGAAAGAATTTTGGCATACCAAAATTTTATAATGCCTACATATAGAAAGCTATAAAACTTAAAAAAATACATTTGAAAAAAATGGGAAAATGTGCCATGTTTCTTGTGAAGAGTTCATAATATTAAGGTGTCATATCTCTCTAAATTAATTTGTAAGCCTAGTGCAATTTGCGTCTAAATCACAAACACAGTAAATTATTGACTGTTTCTGGCAATTAAAAAAGTGAGGCTATATAGAAAAAGACAAAAAGAATCAATAAAATTTCGGTAATATTTGAGAATGTGAGGAAATCTGCCCAATTATAATAATTAAGAGTGTGGCATTAGTTCAAGAGCAGACAAAAAAAATTTTAAAAACAGAATATAAAGTCTAGTAATAAGGATCATTAGAAAAGTGAGGAAAGTATGAATTATTCAATAAATGACATTGGAATAAATGATTAAAATTCTGGAAAAAGACTTGCAGATAGATTATAAAAATGTTCAACTATTGGTAATAAAAAATACTAATTCAAAACAATTGCTGTTTTTATCCTATTTTATGAATTGACAACAGTCAGTGTTGGCAAGGGTGAAGAAAAATCAAACAGGGAGGCAGGCACTACTACGCCCTTGCCCAGCGCAGGTGGACACGTACTGCTATGTGCACTATTGCTGGCAAGAACGCAGGTCTTGGGAGGGCAATTTGAAATGGTCAAAACTTCTCTAAAACAGACATACGTTTTCACTGGTAATTCCATTTTTAAAAATTAACCCAAGGGAATAACCAGAGTATTTCTGAAAGTTTATATAAGAGAATGTGCAGCCCAGGGATATAGCAGTTAAACATTAGAACAGTCTGAATATTTAAATATGATATATTCATTATGATGAAATACTCTCAAGCCATTAAATATCATGTTTTCCAATAACATTTTAAGAATTTATAAAATTCCCCACCCCAAAACACATTACAAAAGAAATTTTTCTATTATGATATAGTTTATGTAGAAAAAAAGCATATTATGGAAAGACAGCAAAAATAAAAATTAATAATTATCTCTTGGTGAGATTGTAGTTTTTTAAAATAATTGCTTATATGTTCCCATTTTTCTACAATGAATATAATTTAGGAACCTCGATCAGTAATAAGGGCTTTCCGTTAACAAATGGTATAGCTAAGAAGACACCTAAGACCTCTTGATTATGTAACAAGAATCTTTATTGTTCTTCAAGGTCATGATCAGCAAGACAGTGAGGAAAAACTATTCTCCCTTCTCTGATCCATGGCCAAATTATTCTGATACACTTTTACCTACCTGGATTCTCCTTCATCCTCCACATGTTCACAATAGACAGAGTTGAGAGCACTGACTCTTTTATAATCTTGAGGGGTCAAATATAAATATTTGTATCCCTGTGAAGCACAAATTGTTTTTAACTCATTATTTGCCATCATTGCATAACCAGAAGACATTGTAAAGCCTGCATTATGCAGCTCCTTCCAAAGCTAGTTTTAAATTGCCACATCACTTCTTAGAGTTACTGTCTAATAGAATACTAACACAGACAGTCCTCCTGTGAAAGATGGAAGTGCCTATTTCTCCAGTCACTGACTGTCCTTGAAACAAGATGTTGGACCGCAACTCCAAGTATACTCCATTCATTTCATTTTCCTCAGGGTTAAAGGGTCATTTTCTGACTTTAGTGACATCTCTATTAAAGATATCGACATAAAATTTAAGAATTGTGTTTTACTCTTTTCTATTTTCTCAAATCCATAGTATTATCAGAATATAAATGGTCTAGGAAATGACTGAAAGAAACACAGACTACAGCTTTACTATTAAAAGTCTGTGCAGAGCTAATCAGTGAACACTGAATTCATGCTTTTGCTTTTCAAATAAACTGCCAAATCCTATTTACATTTAAAAATTATATTAACACTTCATAACTGGATTATTTTATATACATATATACTCAGTTATATGATATGTGTGTGTAACTTAAATGAATTAGTCATTCTGTCAAAAAAATCCAAAAACATTTAAAACATTATGAGAAATTATGTCCATCATTTAATTCAACACATTTGTCCCACAACAAGCACAACATGGAAGAGACGTGCATCTGTCGCTGGTTTTGCATGACTTATAATGAGAACACACTGTACTGACTTATTAGCATGCCAGTCAGCACATATTTATTAAAGGGGGAGGTACTGGAATGTTCTGGTACTGGAAAGATAGGCATTAAAAAAAAGCAAACAAAAATTTCTGTCCTAATTGAACTTGTCTTCTAATGTGAGAAACAGAAAATATATAAAATAAATAAAACATCCATGGTAGCAGAAATCACATTTAAGGAAAACTAAAATAGAGAAGGAAGAGTTGAACTTTTAGAGAGTAGCCAACAGTCAAGGTTTTACTAGAAGTGTCATTTAAGTAAAGAGCTGAGGGAAAGAGACATAAGGATATCTCTAGGCAGATGCCTGTTCTAGGCAGAAGGAACTGTAAGAGAGAAAGCTCTGAGGCACGAGTGTGCCTCCCAGGTTCAAGGCACTAAAAAGGCAAAGTGGGCGAGTTTGGGTGGAAGGAGGCAGAAGGCAGCAAGAAAGAGACAGAGCAGTGGTGGGAGGTCTATGAAGCTTCTTGTAGGTGACTACTATATACATGGTTTTAATCAGAGGAAGCTCTTGAGTTGTGATCTGATTTATATTTCAACTGGATCATTCACTTTCTGTTGGGAGTAGACTTTATAAGAAGGGGAGCAGTGGGTTATGGCAAGAGCAGAAGAACCAATTTGCAAGCTGCTGCAATAAGGCAGGTAAGAACAGTCACTCAGATTAAAGTGCAGTGGTGAAACTGGTTAAAAGTGGTTGAGTTCTGGATATATTTTAAAGGTTGGGATGTAAACATGGTTTACTAACAGCAAAGATGCCAAATGTGGGACAAAGTGAAAAGTCAAGGACCACTAAGCTCTTTTACTTAAATGGAAGAATAGAGGTACTATTTATTGAGATAAGGAAGACTGTGGAAGAACAAATTTAAGGAAGATGATAAGAAGTTACATTTAGGGAGATAAGTTAGGTGGAGATGCTCAGTCTGAATATATGAACCTGAAGTTCAGGAGTAGAATATAAATTTGGAAGTTTATCAGTTTATGGATGGAAATTAAAGCTTAAGTGGGTAGGATCACCAAGAGAAGGGGAATAAAGAGGTCAGGTGGACCAAACCCTTTCTCCCTTCCACTCCAGGCTACCCCACTGAACACCGTGTGAGAGGACACTGGGAGCTGGTGGGGTTGAGACTGATGGGTCAGGAAGTCCTCTGCTGCAAACTTTGACACCTGCTAACTGTCTCCATTCACATTGTTTTGGGGGGAGAGGTGGGAGGGTAATCTAAGAAGCTAAGATAAAATTCATCTAAAATAAAATTGGCCATTTTAAGGTGTACAATTCAGTAATTTTTAGTATATGCACATATTACACAATCATCACCGTTAATTACAGGATATTTCTATCATTGCCCCCCCACCAAGAAACCCTGCACCTATTAGCTGTCACCTACAATTTTTATACACTTAAAAAAAAAAA